CCCCCCCCCCGTGTCGTCCCCTCCCCACCGCACGCTCTCACTCATCCTCTGGCATACCTTGGTGCGGATGCGCAGGTGGTGGTAAGGGATGAACTCCGGGCGCTCTCGGTGGCCAGCGTGCATCCAGCAGTTGAAGGTGCAGAGGGCCACGCTGGGCAGAGCCAGCACAAAGGTCAGGAAGCGCCAGGTGTTGGCTGGGGGAGCAAAGGTGAGGGTGAGAGAGAAGCTATCACTGGGCCTAGAGGTGTGAAAGATCACTGCCTGGTGGGTCAGGAGAGAGGAGGCAGGAGAGGGAGGGGGAAGGAGCAGAGCAAGAGAGCAGATGGGCTAGGCTACTAGGTCAGAGCTAGGCCTGGCCCCACTCACCTCCTGCCCCTCCATGGTCTCCTTTAGCTGCGCTGGCCAAGCCCCGACTCAAGACCTTAAGAGGCAGAGCCATCGCTGAAGGGAAGCTGGAAATGGCGCTGTCCTTTTCTCTCTCCTTCACCTAACCCTGGAGGCTCGCCTCCCCTCTCTGAGCCAATCACCTGTTGAGCCGGCACATAGATGGCTATTTTTAGGGGCTCTCTCTATCTAAAGTGGGTCTGACTGGCAGGAGATCCTCTTCGGGCAGCTGACGCAATATGCCTTTTATTTTGGCAAGAGAACATTTAAAGTAAAATAGGCACTTGGCTTGGTGATACAAGCTTGTGGTCCCAGCACTTGAAATGTGTAGGATAAGAGTTCAAGGCTACCTTTGTCTGCTTAGCTTGAACTACGTGGTGCTGGGAGGCTGTGGATGTAGTTCAGCTGGCAGAATGCCTGTTATGTCTGCCTACCTGGTACCCGCAATGCCCTGAGTTCTCTCCCTAGTGCTACATAATCTCAGTGCAGTGGCACATATCTTTAATGCTAGCACTTGGGATATGAAGGCAGGAGCATCAGGAGTTCAAGGCCATGCTAGACTACATACCAAGATCAAAGCTATCCTGGCCTACACTATCTATCTATCTAAATAAATAAAAATATACTATTTTTCATAGTGGCGGGGAATGATTTGGGTTAATATTCTGTTCTCAATGGCTAGCGCAGTGTAAACCTGTAACATGCATAAAGGTAATGAGGTGCCCACTCTAAAAATTATTTCTCTGGCTGGAGAGATGGCTCAGCAGTTAAGAGCACTGGCTGTTCTTCCTAAAGGTCCTGAGTTCAATTCCCAGTAACCACATGGTGGCTCAGAACCATCTATAATGAGATCTGGTGCCCTCTTCTGGTGTGTAGGCACACATGCAGGCAGAATAGTGTATAAATAAATCTTTAAAATTTTTTTTTTCTCAGTGCTGGGAGTTGAATCCCTGGGTTGTGTATGCTAACTAAATGCTCTTCTGCTGAGCTCAGTCCTGGTCTTTGCTTGGTTTCGCTTTGTATTAGTGTGTGTGCTCACACGTGGCATAGCACTGCGTAGAGGTCAGAGAACAACCTCGTGGGGTTTGTTCTCTCCTGCTACCTTTAAGTGGATTCTGGGAACCAAGAGCAGGTCACAGGTTTGCATAGTGAGCACCTTTGCCCACCGCTCCATCCAGCTGGCTCAAGAAACGCTGAGGCACAGGGGGAGAAAAAGAGTGTGAGACCCGGAAGTGGAGAGTGCGGACAAGCTCTACCCTCAGCTGCTGGACTTTCTGTTCCTTCTCTCTGAGATGGACGCTCACTCTGTAGGCTGGGCTGGAGCCAAACTCATGACGTGTCTGCATTAGTTTTGTAAGCATTGAGGTTACAGGTGCGGATTCTATTCCGCTCTGAGTACAGTCTAGCAGGGTGCCCCCAGCTTTGAGCAAAGTCTGAGGTGTCTAACCAACTTATAAAAGAAAAGTGAATGAGGCGCATTTTCAAGAAAGGGCTCTACACCTATACCTCCTATTGACTTTAAACTCAGGCCAGTGGGGCAGCTCGGCTCAGCAGATCCGGATGCCTGAGGTTACACCTGATGACCGGAGTTTGATTCCCAAGACCCAAGAGTTAGGAGGAGAGACTCCTGAACATCGTCTCCACTCTCCCACGAATGAACAAACGTAAATGTAATAGAAGCTGAATGGTTTCCGCCTACCCAGGCTCCTCCTCCAGCTTGTCCTCCTTTTGACTTCTCCCTGAGCTGTAATGGATTCTTCAGTCACTTTTGCTCTGTTTTAGGGCTGCTGTGGCAACACAGGACTTTACGTTTTCCTGTCTCGTCCCTCTCTATACTACACATAGCTCCCTCTAATCCCCTTCCTTTTTATTACCACTTTGGCTATTGAAGAATACAGAAAGAGGGACAGAGTCTAGGCCCCCCTTCCCTCCTCAGTAGTCACTCAGGTTTGCTGAGAAGTTCCACCCCTGCTTTCTCTGCCTGTCTCAGCCACTCGGTGACTGCGCCAAATGTCACTACTGTCCTCTGCTGCCATCGTGTGGTGCACTTGGCCACGTACTGGAAGATTTTTATTTAAGATTCTCTACAGAATCACGTGGGGTTGTTGATTTTTGTGCTGCCGGGACTGAACCTAGAGGCTAGACACCCTCTGCAGACTCACATTCCCAGCCCCTGTTTTGTTTCTTTTTCCCTTGCTTGTTTTTGTTTTCAGACAAGCTTTCACTGTGTACCCCTGTCTGGCCTGGCTTGTAAATCCTCCTGAGAGGCACGCCAGCGGGGTTTTGTCTTAACTGCTTCTGTGTGGAAACTGTGGCATCTTCACCCATCACTGTCCTGAGCTCTCCACTGCACCATTCATTAGAATCCCAACCCTGGAAGTCTAGATTGTTCTTTGCTTCAGGCTGAGAAAAACAAGCAAACAAACAAACCAAAACAAAAACAAACTCACCAATTGCCAAGCTCTGCTGTGCAGCATCCCAGCCTTCTGTTAGACATTTGCCAAGTGGTGATGGTGAAGGGCTTGGAGGGATGAGCCATACCAGTCTTGCTTATGCCTCTTCCTTGGGACACTACATGGTATTTTTAGCGGGAGCTCTGTGGGTTCCTGTTAATGTCACCACATGTTCCTGGGGAAACAAGAAGGAGTAGATGTGGTACAGAAATGACCTGTCCCCTATCATTTTTAAAGAACATTAATGGACAAGGACAGGATGTTCTCTGGATGTATAGGCATAAATCATTAGTGAAAGCAAATAGTTTCCCCAGAATATCTGTCCTCACAGGTACAGCAAGGCTAACATTAATTCTTTGAGCTAGGCGCCACACTTTGGAGCATGGTGGCTATGCCTATAGAAAACATTTAGTCAACAGTACTGTGTGGCCAAGGGGAAGAAGCGGCTCTGTGCTTACCATTTGCAAATGTCCCCTTGAGTTCCTCAAGATTCTGCCATCGGCTTCTGGGTTTGTTGCTGGAGCCAGGCTGTAGAGCTCTTCAACCTTTGCCATGCACTGACCAACCAGCTTCTGGGTGAGGTGGGGGCAGGGCTGACGAGCCTGCCTTCCTCCCTGGATGCTGACTTGGAGGGAACGAACTCAGTGGGCTTTTGCAGTCCAAGGCTCTCCTTCCTCCGGGTGGGGGAGGGTTGCTGTCTTTACCTAGGCATGGTGGGGACACCTGCAACGTTTTGTTTAAACGAGCCCAGAGTTCAGCCTGTTGCTCTGGCTGGTCCTCTGCAGAAGTGTCTGCATTATATTTCTTTGGAACTGGCCTGGGGACTCCTCATAAAACCAGGTGTTAACTGCCCAGCCCCAGGACTGCCTTTGCGAAGAGGAGAAGTGACTGTAGATGAGAGGATGTGCCAATTGAGCTACATACAGGGCTCTTTCCAGCTGGGCAGTAGCTTTAGGAGCCAGGCTTCTCTGCTGACACTCTCATCATGTGACAGTTCAGGAAACAAACTGCTGTTCAGATCTTCGTCACTTGAGATATTTATGATGTGGGTAGAGACTCTCTGAGAGGAAAATCTGTCCCCTGTCAGGTGAGACAGGAGGAGCAGTTCGTCTTCCCTACAGATGAGGAGGGGATCTCTCTGGCCCAGCCTCCTGGGACAGGGACAGGGGCAGTAGACTCCGGCAAGTCTCCGCTCCCGATGCTTCCCTGCTCTGACAGAGCCAGCGTCCCCTCCAAAGGAAAGGTGCTGCTGCTGTGGAGGTATACCACCCAGGTACTCTTACATAGCACACAGGCTATAAATCAACCCCATTTTGTTCAAGTATTCAATTCTCCATAACCAGGTCGTATTTTTGTAATTTTTATTGCTAAAACTACTCTTGGTTTCAAGTACTATTTCAGATTAGTAAACTTCAAGATTACCTTCAAACTTGCCCTGCTTTGCCATCATTAGGCTTTACTTTGACATTTTTACAACATTTACATGAGACTGTATAATGGGAGACATAAATTGCCCTCTGCCTCCTACTGTGTCTCTGTAAAGAAATTACATTTAAATTTAGAATGATTACAAGTATAGTTCTAGGCATATTAAAAACATTTACTTACTTACTTATGGGGTGATTATTAACTCATATTTTAACTACCTTTGTTTTAAGAATTAATAGTAAACTAGAAACTCCCATAAGATTAGTATTTTATAAATTAGGGTAATTTGTCTTTGTTAAAATTTTGAGCCTTAATGAATAACAAATTGTGAATTGAAGCTCTTTTTTAGTACCTAAATAAACTTCAAACCATAAATACAAGCCACAGAGAAACTTGGAACCTCGTTTTGATGATTCTTTTATAGTACTCCTCTATAAAATCTAAGTTTACCAGATCATACATTAAGTATGCTGTTTTCTTTAATTGTATACATTTTGTTTTGCTAGTTTCCATAGTAAAAACTATTTCAGAAACTCTTAAAGTTGGAAGTTACTTCAGTTCTTATTATATTCAAAAGATGAAAGGTGGCTTTATCCATTTTTAGCATTTATTTTCCCCCAAACTGGCATTTTATTTTCTTATTTTAAAATTCTTGTTTCTAAAGAAAGATCTCCTGGAATGTCAAGATCTGACATTATCACTCTATCAAGCAACCTCATCTTTATCATAAGTCTATGATTCAGGAGAGAGGATCAGATTGATTTTCATACGTAGACTTTCATAAGTATAAAGTTGTGTGCAATGAATCTCAGTTTTCCCAAAGAGCAAGGTTTAACAAAATTAATGAAGCCTCAGTGATTAGACACACACGTTAAGTAAGTCTTTGCTATCATAACTAGATCATTATAACCTTTAGAACATTAAAAGCTCTTATCAGTAAACATATTATCAATCCCCACCCCTCATAAACCTTATATTACTTATTCAGATCTTCTGTGACTTTGATTTATGTTTTTTTGTTTGTTTGTTTGTTTTAGCTTTGGGCCATTGTTTTATTTTTAGTTTTAGGACAAAACTCATGTATTGTATCTATATGTGATTCACTTTAATCTAAAATATTTAAATTATTTTTATTAAAGATATAGTTATATCCTTCCTTTGCAACATTTTAACTTCTTATTTCTTGTAACTTTTAAGTAAACTTGTTTCTGCTTGCAAGTTTTTAAATTATTTTTATTTT